CCCCCTGCCCCCCCGCCCCCATGCCCGCCCCCAGGAAGAAACCTCACCATCTGATTGGGCAAAGTCAACTGGAAAAACCCTCACAAGTCAGTCGTCCCTCTCAGGTCTGGGGCCTCTCCGTTTTCCTCCTAAACTCCTCATTCCAGTCCTGCCCCTTCTGTGGACTGATAGCCCCTCTGAGGCCCTCCATCAACGTTCCCTGCCCCCAAGACCCCATTACCTGCTTGTTGCTGCTCGTTTTCCTCCACATGACCACCCACACCTTCTCCACGGACCCTCGTGTCTGCCCCAGTGCAGGCTTGGCCCGCTGCCTCGCGTGGGGAGCTGCCCGCGAGGCTCTTCCGGGGCCTTCCATGTCGCGGATGGGAACGCATATTTTAAATATGGGGCTGCTCTGCGTGCCCCCCCATTCTCATCACTTTCTTGTGTGTGTGTGTGTGTGTGTGTGTGTGTGTGTGTGTGTGTGTGTTTTCAGGTGAGCAGCTCAGGCTGCGGGCGGTCTTCCTGATTTATTAAAGGCAGAAGAGGAAAAACAAGCTCCAATGTCCAGATCTACTTAGTAACCACATCCACACATTTATCGGAGGCGAGGGGCCTCTAGGAGGACGTTCTGGATTCCCAGAGGGCTGCCACACCGCCTGCCGTCCTGCTGACCTCTCTCTCTGTCTCAGCAGAACCTTATAATAACAACAGCCATAAATCTTTTAGTGGCTTCCATTCTCCTTCTCCTCCTGCAAAAGCCCTGCACGCATTTATCAGGTCCTTAAAGATGCTCAGGGACCACGAGCTCCTCCTTGATCCACCTCCTCACCAGCCTCGTGCATCTCGCCAAGTTTCCTTGGAACCACATCTCGGGTGGGGTCCCACCGCGGAGTGGTGGGGCACGGGGAGAGCGTGGTTGAAAAGTGGCGACAAAGTGGGTGCCGTCTAGGCTCAGATTTTGACTGGAGTGGTCCCAGCACTGCCCAGCTTCTGGCCGCCTCATCTCGGTGCCCTGGGGAAGAGGAGAGCACCTTAATCTCTCCAGGTCAACGAAGGGGCAACGGGACTCAACAGAGAAATGCCAGAACAGGTGTAATGGGCACTTATGTCACCCGCTTTTCATAATCGGCTGAAAATGTAACAAAAGTCTCATTCTTCTGGCCACACTTTGAGATCTGTGGGTTAAGAGTTCCTTTAGAGGCACGGAATACATTCCCTGATGTCAATAGCGAATTGTGTATGAAGAAAAATGTAATGCTTTCAGAACATTTTCTTTTGGGCTTTGTCCATGATTAGATTACACTAAATTACAGAGTACAGATATCAGGCAATTACTCTTTGCTTTTTAACTATTCAATTTCATGGCAAATCCATGTAGCTCAGTAATTATAAAATCATACCGATGTGGTTGCCGAGAAAATACCTCATCATCTCCATCTTGTGAAGCTAGGTTCAGGTCGCCCTGTAATTACCAGTGGTCCTGTTAAGTGTAAAGTACATTCCAGACGAAGAGGGGTAATCTGTAACTCTCCGAAACTGCCAGTTTTCTGGAGATGTTCTTGCAGATTTTGCCAGATAAACCTCAGTAACGTGTGAGGAAGAACGGCGTCCTTACCTGACTGGTTCCTCTGGGCACTCTCCCAGTCTGCTCCTGGCTGGGGCCTGGCCCTGGCAGTGGATCGCTTTAACCAGGAGTGTGTCTGTCTTTACTTCTGTTTTGTGAAAATACGGTCATTTTGTCTTGGCTCAGCTCACAGTCTCCTCCCCAACCTCCCCCCAGTTTTAATTTCTTCCAGGGCTGTGCATGTCCTGTAAGCAATCGAGTCTGCTGTGCTGGAAACTGAGGAACTCGGAGAAAAAGAATTATTCGAGCCAATTGTGAGAAATTGAACAGCGGCAGGAGGAGGAAAAGGAGAGAAGAAAGGAGCCGACACGTCTAACCAGGCGGCTGGGGCACTGTGCATACAGATGCAGGTGGTGGCTGGGTCCCTGTTGCGGCTCATTACTGAGAAGCACATCAGAGGCCGCTGGGTGAGGGTCAGGGACAACAGCGCCGAGCTTTGAACGGGGCTCTAGGTGCTGTGGTTGCGGAGCCAATTCCCATTTTAAGAAATGCAGACTGCCTGGGGCATGATCCCCTCGGGGTCTCATTTCTCTCCTTGGCGCCTATTTCAACACTGCTATTCAGCCCCGGGATCTTAAGGAAAAGCCCAGCGGGGTGGTGGGCGTGGAGGGGGAGGAGGGAGGAGGGGGAGGCTGGGGGTGGGCGGGGTGGGGGGGGG